TGCAACAAAATGGTTGAAGTAGTTGATGATGAGAAACTGTTGATTCATTTCTTTCAAGACAGCTTGAGTGACATTTCCCTCACTTGGTATATGCGATTGGACAATACCAAGGTTAAAAAATGGAAGGATTTAGTGGATGCCTTTATGAGGCAATATAAGTTCAATATAGACGTGGGCCCTAATCGGTTAAGCTTGCAAGCTATGGAGAAGGACAACAAGGATTCCATAAGGGAATACGCCCGGATATGGAGTGAGGTAGCTGCACAAGTTAATCCTTCCATGTTGGAAAAAGAGATGATCGCTTTATTTTCCAACACCTTTAAAGCTCTGTACTTTGAATACTTGGCTAGAAGCTCTGCGCAACATTTCTCTGACCTGGTTGTTATAGCTGAGGGAATTGAACAAGCCATTGGATTAGGTAAAATTGCTTATCCAACTGAAAAAGAACGGTTTCACTGAAAAAGAAAAAGACATTAAAGGGGGTTGCCGAGGCACTTACTGTTCTTACATATGGCCTTAACTAATTGTTGAAAAGATGCCCTTGTCGAGAAGAATAAATGATTGAAAGATTCTAGAAATTCCAATCAATGATCGCTAAATGTTTAGCCCCTTTATATGTTATCATGCTAGTGTTCATAGCCCAAGATGTTGACATAAGTTCTTTGTTGTTAAACTTCTTTTCCAAAGTTTCAATGAAATAATGAGTTTGTCATTCAATCATGTTTATGACTAAGCATTATTCATTTTCTTGAGAGAGTTTTCTTGTAAAGACTCACAAACACATCTTTGAAGCCTTGCACAATCTCATAGATTCAATTCATTATTCTTACCAAAATCAATTTCCCTATTAGAGTTTTGAAAAATTTATCTAGCATTTTGATTTCGAAAAGTAATTTGATGTTTATTCAAAAATGATATTTTTGACATTCTGCTTGTAGAATGACAAGTGAATGAAGCAACTCCATCATTGAGGTGACTAAATTATAAACAAAAAAAAAAGAAATGAATAAACACCTTTACCCCATTACTCTTGAATCATGTGTTTTTTTAAAATGTATGAATAATGGTATATAGTGAACTTGTTGCTCATAACTCATGAAATGCATCTTTGCAAAGAATAAACCATCATACCATACGAGGTCAAAGTTTATTGATCATAGCTACTTGCGCTTGAAATGAGGAAAGGCCATCTTTGTTATTTCCTTTCATGTTCTAAATAAATACATCCCTTGCAAACCCTTTTTGAGCCTGAACAATTTTTTCTTTCATAGAAAAAAATCTCGACTAGGATCACACCCCATACTGGGGGCAAGTGAAATTTCAATTATCAAGAAAGATGATAAAGCTGTGAGAAAGCCAAAAGTCAAAAAAGCTCAAGAAACTCAAATGCTAGGGGGCATGCCCAAATCACAAGAAAAAGTGATAACCAAGATAAAGTGAGTATGCTCTATAAGCAAAGCAATGAAAAAAAAAAAGCAACAAATCAAAGAAGAGCGGCAAAAGAAAATATGAATGACATCAATAGTCAAACTGTTAATAGTGATTCTCAGTCTTTGAAGCCCTGAAACACTCTTTGAGCCTTATGAATCCTTTTCTTTCATAGCCAAAAACCACAGCCTACGTTACGTGCCTATAGAAGTCCTTTCTAATCAAGCAAGCAAGCAACCTAGAACAATAAACAATGCTCTCAAAATGCAAAGAATACTTTTTCATAAGATTCATGACATCAAGAATAAACTATTCATTATTATTCATGCTGATAAAAATAAATGTGCAAAAAGAGACAAATTCTTCTCATACAAAACCTCGAGCTTTTTCTCGAGCCCTCTACTCTGAAAACTTATAAAAGCAAAAGGTCATAATATCATGGCATATTTTCACCGAAGACCTCATTGCCAAACACAAGAACAAATAATCTCTTTTCCAAGAAAGAAAAATAACCAAGGAGTTGCAAGATTTCAAAAGCAAATTGTTTTAGACTCACATCGAAATAATTTTTTGTTTTCAAAATGCAAGATCAAGATTTCAAGATTCATTCTAGACCCATATTCCTTCACCAAACAGAAAAAGGATAGATATGAGAGAATGACCTCTTAGAACCATTATTTATCCAAATCACTAAGAGAGCACACTTAGAGGCAATAACCAATACAAGGGGGCAACATTGTGTTTAAAAGGAAAAATTCTAGAAAAGGAGATGGTAATTTCCTTTAACCAGACAAGGGGGCATTTTGGTTTACAAAAGACAACTCGATCCTTTCAGCAAGTGACACCGAATGTTTCTAGTAGTGAAACGAGGAGTAATGAGTGATCCTCTTAAATTATTTGACGAATCAGAAAATCTTTAGCAAGCAAGTGGGTCACGATGGGCACCACAAATGCTGAGTTATACAATTAAATTTGGAAATAGACTTATATGAGCCAACTCAAGTGGGCTAGAAAGCTAAACGACAAAGATGACTCAAATCAGATAACAAGATCTCACCAACCAAGCAACGAGAAGATTAAGAAGAAATGGGGGCCTATATTTCAAATCAGGTAAAGATGCATGCATATCATTTAAACTCTAAAACATTAAACAATGAGTTTTGTAAATTTTTATTAGAGAAAATTCTAACGAAATCCATCAAGTGGAAGGCCAACTTAAAATGGCGAACATTGAAA